AGCTTTCAAAAAAGTCCCTATTAAATCTAACGTTGCCCGGTTGAAAAATAAAATCTAGTGTTCTTAAATTATTAAATTTTTAAATTAAATTATTAAAAATTAAATTCTTAAAGGGTTAAATCAGTGAACCAAACGAAAATGTAGGGCAAAATCCTTAAGGCATAGGAATTATTTATTGTAGAACTTTTGACTTTTACGAACGAAATCGTTTTCTACCCTACTTTTTATTTAATTATAATATAACAATGTCGTGTATCGGGGGTATAAAAATCTCATTGGGTCGCCAGATTGCTTGGATTCGACGCTAATAATACATTATAATATTATACGCAACCGCTCCGACTGGTGTTCTAAGTTGTACGCGACGAATGCAGTTGCAGCCGTTCGGCCATTGTGTGTAACTGCAGCGTCCCACGGATCGTTGGTGCAATATACTTAATTCCTATGTATCATTAGTGCACATATTTTTTTTTCAAAATAATGATGGTATCTATATTATACCTACATAATATTTTATTACTTTTATGTATATTTATCTGAGGCTACCCGCAACGAAGCGTATACTGACACGTTTAATAGAATATTATTGCAATGTTTTCGATGAGCGTTTCCGTTACATTTTGAGAATAGGATAATCCCTGCAGGTCGGTAAGATGATGACGATGAGGTGGTAACTCGACACCGCCGCCAAATCCGTCACGCACGGTCATTACTCCCGTTTCTGCCGACGACGGCTTATTTTTGTATAAAGTCCCGTGTGCTTGCTGATGTATATATATATATATATATATGCAACATGCATACACATATATATGGTACACTGGTCGTATACTGCAGGAGATGTGTCTTCCTCCGTCCCGGACGTTATATTGTCTTGTATACATCACACGAAAACGATATAAAAGCTGAGTTAGTTCTGCTGGAAAAATAATGCTTGGTTTCTAACTTACTATAAAACTGTAAGACCCAACCGCGCCTATAATCTCGCTTGACCCACGAAACGGGGCATATTATATCGAATTCGTCGATTTTCTATCGAGTTCATTTGCTGAATGGATTCCACTGAACTTTAAATTTTTTTTAAATCGTAAAAAGACTAAAAAGTAGTCATATTATAATAAGTGATGATAAAGTGCCTACGTTATAATAATTTTGATAAATTAATTTAAATAATATTTGTACTATAGTATAATACATAAATACGTTAAACATTATGAATCACCTAATTGTCGAAATAGAAATAAAAACATGACTTATGTTAACATTTTTAAATTTATTTTTAAGTTTGAAATTCACGACTGCCTTTCTAAAATTTTTATAAATTTAAAGCTCAACAGAATTGGTAGATAGATATTATATGAACCGCGTACTTTTTGAAAACCAGATGTTACGGCCAAATCAATTCCCATGAAATATGTTGAAATAATATTAAAATTGTTTTTCTTAATATAATATCGATGTAGAATATAACCGAATGTATTTACAAATAGCGCGTTACTGTTTAATGTACTCGTATATGATGGATCAAGAGTACCGAATATTTTTCAGGTCACGTAAGTCTTTATGCCAATATTTTGTTATCGAAGTTATTGCAAATTTTACGTGGCAGTTATACATATGTATATTTGTATCCCACATATAGCATTTGTCAATCATAACAATTGCATTAATGTTTAACATTGATTGGAATTTAAATATTTAAAATTAAAACTTTATCAAATATTGAACAGTTATTTAATTTTAGATTTCGAGTGGAACTTTTTATGTTATGATTGTAATGTTTAATTCAAGAATTAATTAATATTCGAGAAAAAATATTTTAAAGTTAATACAAATTTTAAATTGCTTAGGTAAATCTTAATATTTAACATTTATTTAATTTTCTAAGATGAATAATTATTAATGTTTTAAAATCAAACATTAAATTGATCTTTATATTACCTAATTGCTTAATTTTAATTTCGTACTCATTGAAAATTAAATGTTTAATATTCAATTTAAATACATATTATATATATTATTATGTATAGCTGATAGGTAATAATAGCTATATATATTTATCAATAACCATTTTTTCTGAGTAATCGTATAGGACGAATCGTATAGGTGAAATTTGTCAAAAAAAATTACAAATCTGAATTATTTAAGAATATTTTTATATTATGTCTGTTTTATAACTGATAATTGAACTTTACTACCCATGCACTGAATGTTTTTTGATATCGGGTATGTATTTCCTTAGTTTTAATGAAACACAAGCAGCACTAGCTTCGTTCATCTTCGTTTCGATTTAATTAAATCATTGCGGAAAATAAACTTTCATAACTGTTAGTTTACTCGAACATTTATGGTGTGGAATAATAAACCATATTTTTAGGACAAAATCTGTCTTTAGGTAAATTTTGATTTTTCAGCATTTTATAATTACATATATACTGACAAATATATTACTCATAATTTAGAAATTACGTTATTTTTTTTTTTTTATCGTCTTTCATTAAAGCAAGATTTACCAATAAAAATATTTTTGTGTGTCGTTAAAATATCGTGTCGCTCCTGCTAATAATATGATATAGAGAGTCAATTCGTAGTTTCCCGTAGATTTATTCCTATGTAGTATATGATTGATGGTGATTAATATTGACTTATATTCTATGAGAGTTAGTAGAGTTGACTTTTAAATAGACGAATATTTTTAGTTATTGATATACCTAATTAAATRGAATTACGATGACATTGGAATTGAAAAGAATTTTTACCATCAAATTGGGTTAGAATTCGCCACATCACGATTTATGAAGTGTATATAGTCATTTTGATAGCTTACATTATAAGTCAGAAATAGATTATATATACATTTAACCATAAGTATACATCGTTTTTTACTCATCGTCGTATACGGATTTTTGGATCGTTCAAACTCATCCTTTGAGTACGCGTATTTCGGGTAGTGTTAAATTATATTTAAATATACTTCAATTYGGCTGCAGGTCATGGTACTACGCGTGTATAAAATAAATATTAATTAGTAGGTAATATATCCACACACATAGAGCCCTCTGCACGGGTTTGTCTGCTGGGAGAGGGTCTCTTCTCAAAAGCTCTATACATCAAACGAATAATATTATCCAATTATAATATGTTTGATATATATAACATATTTTATACTGATGTTGTGCTATATACACGTGTTGTGTGTGTCGATTTGGTGATGGAGGTGCAATTTGCGGGGTAGACGATTTCGATATGTTTTATTATACGATATTGCACGTAATATATTATGTATCACGTGTGCTCATAAATAATAATATATTGATATAAAGGAAACGATAAACTCGAGGGGAAAGTTAGTAATCCTTTGATTACCCATATTCAATAAATGTTTGGATAAAAAAATATGTTATATACATATATTAATTTTTATAAAAAACAATTTGTGCAATTCGGCTCTCTGGTGGCAGCGACGATAGCTTCTGCTGTATATATGATCACTGGCACACATATTCATGCTTCTCTTTTTCTACTAAATCGAAAACACAAAGCTCTCGCCACAGCGTATATAGGTATAATATAATAATGCACGCACACATGACCTGCAGCTTATATTAAATTTTAGTACGCTATATATCACTACGCTATTAACGTATCTTCTATAACCATTGAATAGTATGTGTATGCCCGGGCCATAAATAGTAAAAATGTACAACACAAATTTTAGGGTCACAACAATTTATAGCGGTCAATGATCAATAGTTGCATAATACTTTGGGATGATCCCAAAGTGACCTCATCTGCGCTATGCCTTTTTCCGTATACAATCTAGACGCGCCCTATATCATTTATTAATTTTCTATCATATAATATTTATGAACTTGTGTGTTTAATAACGTTATAAAAAATACGTAAAAGCGTCTATTGGTTTTTAGTTGATCTGTTATTCCTGTACATACTATGCATTCCATGCAATAATTAATATAGTCACGCAGATAATATTCTTTAACTTATATTAGAATCCAAAAAAACGACTTTTTTATTTAATAGTTATTGTTATTTGTGATTAWTAAAAAAAATATAAATAATCGAAAACCAAATATTATAGTCAACAAATAATTATATATTATACCACTTAAATACATTAGCGTGTTTAAGTAATATTTTGAAATGTAATTATGGGCAATAGACATGCTAAACAAAGCTTCATTTATTAAGCTACCTACAAAATTTAAATTAAATTACTAAACCAAAGAACAATAAATGTTTAATATATACGAAGCGTAATCACAGMAATTCCGTTTAATTTACGTTAAATTTTCCATGTATTTATTAAAATTTCTATTATTGATCATTGATGTGAAACATCTAATACGCTTTTAAAACAAAACAGAATTTTCTTAAAAAATCWGAATATTTTGTTTTTGCCATGTTTATATTTTCTTTTAAACCATCTTTTCAATTTCCTCGTATATTTTCTATAAAAAGTATTTGKGAACAAACATTTAAGAGTCCGAATTGGGACAGAACGTGTATGAGTTTTAAAGACAGCATTTTGTTTGTATATATGTATGAGTGTGTGAATACTATGAATGCTATAAATATGTATGTCTATATGTTGAGGATTATTTATACATTAATAAAGCTCTCGTGAATGGCAAAGCTTTCTGCTGATCCCTTTAAATTCGCTTGCACCTAACCGTAGTATTATTCAGTCCAATAACTTTCAATACATCCCGTCCCGTCGTAACATCGGCGTTGATACTGCACTCTCTTTGCATTATATTGACGTCGATATTAGGTAATACATTTTGATTTATTAACATATCGGGTGGGCTACTACGCTTTTCTTGAGCCTAACGTGGAAAATCTCAATGGCTTCTCAATATATATACAGATAATATTATTTTATTATTTACAAGAAACGTCGTTTTTATATAAGTATCGTGTCATTAATCATTATTATTCTACTCGACTAATTGCTGATAATTTTTATTTTGCTGATATAGAGCTACCGCCATCATATTGGACTGGATCGCCACAAATGGCGGCCGTGGCAACAACACCACMGGTCATCGCTTCTGGGTCGTGGATGAGCCCAAAGACGACGGATACACCGCTCTGCATTTGGCTGCTCTCAACAATCACAACCGTGTGGCGGCATTGCTACTGGTTCGTGGCCGAGCCGACCCAAACAAACGAAACGTCAACAAGCAGACGGCTCTTCATCTGGCCGTGGAACGTCAGCACGCAGATATCGTCAGGGTACGTAGGGTCGTACCCATTGATTTAGTCGTGGCGATTATTTACTGATGTGCACTATTTGTTCGCYATTCCTGTTCTTATGTAGTATGTACGTTATCCTTTGATATTTTTTGTAGCTCCTCGTTCACCACAATGCCGATCCGAACATCCCTGATAAAGACGGGGACACGCCCATGCACGAGGCTTTGCGCCATCACACGTTGCTACAACTCAAGACAGTCGGCACACCACCTCCGCCTGGAGTGGGCTTGGGAAACAGTCCTAGGGATCCCAACACTAAGTTCCGGTTTGACGGCGGTGGTGGCATATCACTGCGAAACATTCTCGCTGGCAACAGGGTCGTTCGTGATTACGCGCAACTGGCAAATGACGGAGAAAACTTGTATTCATCAGTCAGCCGTACCGTWACGAGCCAGCCCTGTCCTGTTGAACAGGCGGCATCACTTTGGGCGGCCAAGGGTCCCGCATACTTGGAAATGTTCGCATCGCCGGTGTCCGCAGTGCAAAGATTGATGGCCGAACTCCTTGGTGCAGCCGATGAGTTTAGACGTTTGCGCATCGGTTCTAGCAGTGACAACGATGCAGATGACAATAATGAAAATGACCTTTCTACAGTCGATGCCACGGTAAGGCTAATTATWTATACATTGAATATACTGGTTCCAAAACTTATTAATTTGATTTTTTTTAATTTTTTTTTTTTTTTACAGCCCGTCTTGAACAACATGCCACCCCCGATCAAGAATAATAAATCGAAGAAAATAATAAACTGCCGTCGGGTAAAGAAATCTCCACTGCGAACTGTACGTCAACAGACCGTCGACGATCAAACCGGTCCGAAATTGGCCGGAGAGGCACGTACTGCTGCCCTGGAAGCCGCCATGGCTATTTCTGGTTATGGTAGTCGGAACCTTGGTGAACGACCAACACGTCGACCTGGACCAAGTTCTGATCATAATATGGACGGAGAAGGGCGCCCGGACGCTCAGACTKCGACTTCTGAACAGGGTAATCAAGATAATCTCAGACGGCCTACGCGTGGCCCTGTGTCCCGATCTGCACCAGCTTCACCAATTAATGATAACGTGATTCCGCCACCACCGAATGCCACAGTAGTTGTTTGCGTGCTTGCTGGCACGGGTCGCGCTGATTTATGGGTGCGCAACAACCGTGGACAAACACCATTGGATCTTTGTCCTGCTGACCAACCTTTGCGCCGTGCTTTGATAAAGTGTTGTGATGCGGCTGCACAAGCCCGCAACGTTCAAACTACTAACACCACTGCCACCGCTGTAGGCGAAACCAGTGCACCGACTCTCTCCGAGCGGTCTCATCAATCCCAACTGATGCTTAACAAYATGCCACCAGACTACTCTATCAAGGCGCCGTATCATGATGCGTACGCCCCATTGATGTCAAAAGAGCTAGACCCTCCAAAAGATTGCTACAAGACATTCGCTGCTCGAAGTGATGCAGCATTCCTTAGTCTTTCGAAATCAGTCGCCGACCGTTTTTTGAGCATCGGGATTCCTCCCCCGTCGCCTAGTATGATGTTGCTAGGAGATAATACACCGGCGGTTCTTTTGAATGTTAGGCCCTCTACTTCCAGTGCCACTATGCCTGTTGGTAGCGATTCTGGTGAGAGRGTGGATAGAAACTTGATGAGAGAAACAGTCAATGACGTTAACAGAAATGACCCAGAACCAGAATCTATGGATGACGAAAGCATTTTAAGCATCACTAGTAATGCTAACGGTAGCATAGTGATTGAGAATAGTAATAATAGGTAAAGTTTAAGCTTAAAAGTTAAAATATTTATCTGTCAAATACACCTTCTGGCTTATATTTTCTAAAACCATAAATTATATTTGAAATAATCGAATAATGTATGATAAAAAATAGAACAAAGTATGACGAAATCATTAGATCACCACTGATTTCTTTCCTTATACCTTAAAATATTGTTTATCACCCATTATACGTACAAAAACGTTTAATAACATATTAAAAATTTCAAATCTTTTCATTAAGATTGTACAATTTATTTATATTGTATGATAATATTATTTATTATTTACGTTAACCTCCATCATATTTTTACTCATTACAGTAGAGCACCTACTACACGCAATCATATGGACATAGCAGCCGGTGGAAGCAACAATAGCCAACCTTCCACTTCATGTGATCTATCAGTTATAAATAACACAATGTCYCGATCACGAGACAAGCGAACTAATGAGTTAAAACAGGAGCAAATTAACATTGCAAATGCGCCATCACAGGAAGGACTACAAAATTCCCCCATGGACGTGGCTGCAGCAAATCCTCCTGGTGTTCAGGAGCCAGGACTAGTGGAAAAGCTCATGCAGCAGTTGAATGATCTCAAGGAAATGGTACGTGTATAATACTGTGATATACTGTAATATACTGTAGTATACTTATTGTATAATTTAATACATCACTAATAATTTTCTTTTTTTTTACAGAATATGTGCCCTGTGTGCTTGGATCGAATTAAAAATATGGTGTTTATGTGTGGGCATGGAACATGCCAACTGTGCGGTGATCGTATGGCCCCTGGCCAACCTTGTCCCATTTGCCGTAAACCAGTTGCACACAAGATATTATTATACTAGACCCAGACAACAGAACCATCAATATTGATATAAATCTTTTACTGATTTTCTAGACATAATACCATAACCATTTATTTTAAATCCTTACTATACTTTYGCTAGGTTACATGAGATTTTGGAGAGATCTTATTTAGTGTTGTATACTTTTATAATTAATTATTTAATTTTTTATTAAATTTATCTCATTATTAGTTTATTATTTACTCTGATGTAACCCTAGTATGCACTTCATTTTCTCCAATTAATACTGAGCCATTATCAAACATTTAAAAAAATATTAGTTATATGAATAATACAATTTTTTTTTTTTTGCTTGGTCATACAATTTAAACTATTTATAAAATGAGTTGTATGGCCGAACAATTAAATTTTTATGTCATTAGCTTTAGTCGTAATTATTTTTTTAATGTATTACTGGTTTAGTTTACAAGGATTTATTTTTAATATTAATTGTTTGTAGTTGTTAGTAGTCAACAAGCGTAATACTCGCAATTAATATTATTATTACTTTTAGTTAACAATTTATAAATTTATTATAATAGGTATATATTTATCTAGATTTACTATCAATATAATCAACAAAATTAATATTCTCTTCAGTATCCATTATTATTTATTATATATCTTATTCTACTCAATTCTAATATTATAAATTTATAAAGTTATAATAATATATTAATCTTTGTAGCTTAGTGATTGGTTTCTTTAGTATTGTTAATATTCTATTATGATAGACAATAAACAGTAGTATGTATTATTGGGGTGTACTTTAGATTCTGCCAGTAGTATAATTATGGCATGTTCCACCAAAAGTAGAAGTTTTGTTTTAATTGTATAATTCAAAAGAATTTATTCCAATAATTATAGTTTATACAATAATAATCAAYGTCAATATTTATTTATTTAGMACTGAAAATTACTTATATTCTAATGTAATTTTATTTATAGTCCAACTTATCGTCAATCATCATTCATTAACAATAAAATTAATATTTTATTATTATATACAAATTTAGTTTTTTTTTTCAAAATTCTCTGTTAATATTTGTATTTTAGTTTATTATTATGGTTATTATTATTATTATTATTATTATTAGTATCATCATAGACGTGTGCAGACTGATGGCAGGGTGATTGAATGATAAAATGTTCTACCTAAAAATATTAATAATTATAGTACTGCCTTAAAATACTTACAATAACATTTTGAACTCATATTACTTCTTATTGGCTAAAAAATGATATCAATATTTAGTTATAAACACATGTTTATTGAAAATAATGTATTATATAATATCATAATTCATTTGAGCTATGAACATGGATTGTTATTTTTTATTATTTTTCGAACTTCATTGATATTATGTTATTTAAAAAAATTGACTGCCACAGACAATAAGTTACGCGAGCGCATACCCTGCATATGCCATGCACATGCCTATGATTATTATACTTAAACATTTATAATTTTTATACTCTTATTCAAAATTTTATATTTAATTTATTATATCTTAAAATAAATGCATTTAAATATAAAACTGCTGGTTTTTTTCAATTATATATTTTTCATAATTGATTTTATAAATATATATATGTTATATATTATATTYGTTTTATATATAAACTTTTTTTTTAGAAATTTAGTATGAAAATGAAATGTTTCATGATAATTCAATGTAATATTTCAAAAAATTACATTTTATGTTATCTTAAAATTCGAAACATAATACCCATTTGAGGAGATWTCATTATTATATAGGTTAGAATATACATGTTAAAATTTAAAACTTCTAATTCTTGAGTTAAATGAGGTAAAAAAGTCAAAAATTCAAATAAGTACCTAGTTTTAAAAAGTTTATAATATGATTATACGCTTAACTTTTTTTTTTAATTCCAATAAGAAAAACTTATATGTATTTGTGTACTATCATTTTAAGTCTAAGGTATACAAATTACAAAATATTTTATACATTTTTGTAATTTTGAAACAAGTTTGCTTAAGAACTGCAAATTATTTTCTTACAAAAAATGTTTATAAGAAATTGCAAATAATCAACTGACTATGGAATTTGATAATTCATTGCTATATTATTATATTTCTATTATATAACAACTATTTTTATAAATTATTTCTTACAACACTAGATCTATCTACATAAATTATATTAATTTTGTTTTTGGGGCATACCCAAGTAATATATTTTATATATTTACTTACCTGAATTTAATTGCCAATATACGGTGGTGCATTATTGTTTCATTGTTTTGAACATGACCTTTATTATTTAGCCATGGTTTCGACAATCGATGCAACATTGCGGCTCGATAAACATATCGTCTTGTCAAACATATTGTCTGGTTTACACAAAATGTGCTACAAACAACAGTAGCATAAGAATTAGTAATAAACCAACATGTTAATGCGTGTAGTTATAATATTTATACAGCTGCTGCCTAGAGCACAATAAAATGGGGACTCAGCAAATTGTTAAATTGAGCCACTTCTCAACATGAAAAGCTGCAAATGATATTTTTTATTACAGTTAATTTCCGTTTTAACCAATTATAAGTTACCATGGAATCTAATAATTTTTTGGCTGGTACTGTGTGCCATGGCATAAACTGCCACTTCTACAACAAAATACTTCTACTACTAAATACGTTTGTTGAAATTCGTTACATAACTCTTGATTTTCCAATTTCGTCAAAATGTTGAACTTCAGCACATAACATTTTTAAGAGTATGTATATACTGTGTAATAGGTACATTCAAATTTATTAAATAATTTTATTTTTTGAACTAACCTGTTTGAATCTTTTACTAATGATTTACTACTGAATTTCCCAGTAACTAAATAGTCATCAGAATTTTCAACTAATTTGTTATAATATAAATGTTAATCAATAATTAAATAACAAATTCAAATATAATTTTATTAAACTAATTAGAGTAGATTTATATATTTGTTAACTACACTTAAGATAAAATATTAATGGGATTCAGACCTAATTAAATTCTAAATTAAAAAAAAAAAATGTGCTTGAATAACAGTATAAATCGTGTGTAGTATAAGATAAATTAAACATGATCGATTACTAGTCATGATTTAAATTATTCACTATGAAATTGAGCAAATTATTTAATATTTGGACTATTTAGTAAAAAAATATTGTTTGGAAATCAGACGTACAACAATGTAGTAAAAATATATTTAAAATAATATACTTTATGATATATTATTTGTTATGATATTCTAAATATAAGTGAATATTATTATTTTAGCTATTCTGTCGGGTATTATCCATGCCACAGATTTGTAAAAAAAAATATGCTATGCACCATATTTGAGATATTTTTATTATACCTAGTAGTAATATAATACATAAAATATAAATATATTATAACCAATGGTAACCATATAAATAAACAACAAATAATATCTTCTTTCATTGTGAGCTGAATCCATTTATGAGCTACCTTTTAAATTCCAAGATATTAGGAATCTCTGAAAAAACAAACTATAAGAACTCTYTAAGTCTCAAAGAATCTATTGATAAAACTTTTTTTTTTAATTCCAGTACTTTATGAATCTATTAACTTCTGAAAAACATCAATTGTATTATATTATGTAACCTATGGCACCTGTAATACCAATTACTATAATTTGCTAATATAAATTTATCATAATATACAACTAATAGTAACCATTTATACCTAAGCAAAAATCCCATTTAAATAAATTTATTATAATTTATTTTAAGTTTTTCAAAATTGTCCAATTTTGTTTTCTATATAAATCTCATTCGAAATATTACAAACATAATCAATTCAGCCTTAATCAATTGATGAGGTTACAAACAGATTTTTATTTTTATTATACAGCCATATAGATTATAAGAAGRATCTGTTTCCTCTATGGTTTCTACTATTATTAATTTTAAGCACTGAGATAGATAAGATATACTGGAGCGCRGACTCGGCCGTGAAAACGCGACGGCTCGTTTGATGTTACCCCCACCATCGAAGGGCAACACATTTCATTTTTACATAGGAAAATACAATGGAATTGTAAATAATGATTTATTTTCGTTCATAATCGCTGAGATATTTGCTCTATAAAATAAATGTCTATATTATAAGTAAATTATAATCTCAAGCCTCATCATWAGTTTAATAGTTTGTAATTTGTWACAATTTTGTATTGTATCTTCAATAATGGTTGTCTCGTGTTCAGCCTTTGGATGTACTAATAGGTGGTTAAAGTATTCAACTCCACAAGTAAATATTAACATTTTGTCATTTTATACAATTAAATATTTAATAAATATAGGTAGGTATTAGGTAACATTAACATATCTATTATACCTAAATATTAATATTTTATATACAGATTTCCACWTAATAATCCTGAATTACTTAAAAAATGGTTGATTGAAGTTAAAAGGAAGAATTTTATACCTACAAAAGTATAGCTATTTATGTAGTGAACACTTCAAGATTGAAGATTATCAGATTCGGCCTTTAGCAACAGTAAAACTTTTAAAAACTGATGCATTTCCATCTATATTCAAAGCGTTTCCAAGTCATTTACAAAAAACAATACCAGTTAAACGTCGTAAATTAAACAGAATTATGGTTAGAATTAACTATACTTATTACCTATCTACCTTTACAAATATCACAAATCAAAATGTAATGATATATATTTATTTTAGACAAATTACGTTGATGTAAAAGTTGAACAACAATCTACAAGTAGTGAGCAGGGTACTGAACTATTAGTTGAGAATGAAACAGTTGATCAAAGTTATTGGTATTGATATAACATTATTATTATTATTTTTACTATTATTACTGTGTAATGTGTATGTTATCTAARATTAATATGCTAATCTTTTTTTATTATTATTTAAGAATATAATTTGAAACAAGTGTTAAAAAATAAATGTTCAATCCGAAAAAAATTATCAAAATTAATTTTATTTAAAAATTTGTGAATTAGATGTATGTTTTTACTTTTTAGATTACCTTTATATATTATGTTTATTTATATTAAGTTGATCCTACAGAAATTGTCTTAAATTGTATGTTAGATTAAAATGTTTATTAATGTAATAAATGTATAAATAATAAATATACTATTTTAAAATATGTGTTATTATTTTTTTTTAATATCTTCCCATATCATTATATCATATATTATAATCACCGTAATACAATAAGGCAATGACTACTACATTTAATTTGTTAAAGAATTAAAAAAATAATTTAAATAAATTAAGAATTATGTACAAAAATAATCATGACTACACGTCCATCGTACGTAAAAATTAAATGTTTTGCCCTCCGATGTTGGGGAAAGCGGGATTCAGGACGGCTCGTTTTTTGTATCATTGTGAGAATAGGGAGTCTGCGCTCCAGTATATCTTATCTATCTCAGTGGTTTTAAGTAAACTAGTATTTGCAAATAATATATAAGTATCTCCATATTCAATATCAATATCAGTATAGTACATGATGGATCTTCAGAGATAACATTATCCATATATATCAGTAATTAAATAAATAAATACATTTTAACTCTGATATAAAGACAACTATATAAGCCTAGAGTTCAAATACATAATACGAATACCATCTTATATCAATAAATATTTTTATTTTTATTTTATTATTTATTATATATTATTATATTTTTATTTTTATTATATTATATTATATTATATTATATATATTATATATATATTTTTATATTATTATATATATAAATAAATAAATAATTATTTTATTATTTAAATAAATCAAATCTAATAATGTCATGGTTGCACAAATAAATTTATATAACAGATATATTAAAATACAACATAAGTAATATTTAAAACATTATTGATACATATCATATAATGTAAAATGTTTTGATAAATTATGCCAAGAACAATAATACGTATTGGAATGTTAATAAAACATCTGCACTGCAGAATTGCTTTAGTGTAGTCTTAGATGCTGGTTCACTTGGTAGATGGTTAATAAATCGCAGGGCATATATTAGCACCATGCTAGTGACCTGCTCACGGAGCTTCTACCAAACTAAATTTTGGATTATAATTCGTGAAGTATTTAAAATAGAGGTATTGATTGATAGTGATGGCAGATTCAGGTTTCCACATCAACGCCAGCAAGTCATAAAGCAATGCATCTGCCTGTGCACATTACATAAATAAATGTTATATTTATTAAATCAACAGAAGACTGCATACATACCTGGATATCTTTGAGCCAGCATGACTCGCACGGTTCATCATRTCTTTTTTGGTATTTCCGATGCAGCCAGTGATGTTGCTATCACTGAAGCATCTTCTTCAGGTTGACGTTCTTCCATGTTGTCTTCATTAGAAACTGTGAGGTTCTTATTTGGCTGAACCTCCTCTTTGTTGTCGTTTATCTCCTCTACGTTATCATTTAATTTTTCATTTTCTCTCTCCAATTCCATTTTATCTTCCACACCAATTACCACAGCTTGGGGCTCTAGGAGTGATCGACGGTTGTTGTGCTCACGACCTATTCGGTGAGAAAGCGCTCGTAAGCGTTCCTGTTTTATTAACATTATAAACAAACAAAAATACATAAATAAATAATTTTGTCAGGATGTACGTTTTATTTTTATTGACAGTGAATTTAATGCACTAATGTTTTATACCGTGTGTTCACCAATTTAGGGAACACTGAATTTTTTGGCCGGATTATGGTGGAATAAATTGAATTTTTTTACAAGCTAGTGGTATATAAATACACATTTTCAGATAAATTTCAAAATGTTAATCCTCTCGGTAGGCGCATGCACAATGCAACTTATTTCTTTTTAATAGCAAACAGTATTTTTGGTACCAAATTCGAATAGACTGATTTTTTTAAAGTAATTTGACCAGTTAACAATGGCTTTCATTCAGTCAATTTTGGTTTTAGAGCCATAGTTAATAGGTCAAAATGACTTAAGAAAATTCAGTCTATCCAAATTTGGCATTAAAAATACTGGTTGCTGTTAAAAAAATTAAGTTGCATTGCGCATGTGCATACCTAGAGGGTTAAAATTTTGAAATTTATCTGTAAATAATATGTATTTATATACAAATAGCTTGTAAAAAAAAATTCAATTTATTCCAACATAATCCGGCCGAGAAATTCAGTGTTCCMTAAATTGGTGAACACACAGTGAACAATATGTATATATTGTATATACATACATACATTGTAATAGGATTAAGAATAGATACTTTAAAAAGTATTAAATACTTAATAGTAATACATACTGATAATAAACAATTATAAACTAGACATTACAATCAGGGTTGGGCAAGATACTCAAAAAAAGTATCATGATACATGATACATTAATTTAGTGTATCAAGATACATGATACTTTTATATTTCTAATCAAATTTTATTTGCTATTAAACTTAAAATGTTTATACRTAATTCACTATACTGTCAATACATAAATACAGTAAGATAATCCATTAAAAAAAATTTAAAATCCATAATTATAAAACAACAAAATATGAAAAATAGTGAACGGTCAGTTGACACAATGTCACAGTCACACTGAAGACAGAAAAAATAGTAAAATGTATAGAATAGTATAACAATGTGAATAGTATACTATAATAATTGCTTAAATTTACTTTTGATTTTATTTTCTATTTTATGCGGAAATACCTTCACGGTTACATTCATATCTAGGTAGCGGATTCATTTGTTAAAGCAAAACTTTGAAATGYTTGAACGAGGTAAGTCGGGGAGCTGTCCCGTCTGCCTCCCATGTATGTATTAATATTTGATACTGTCAATAAACGATGGCGGCGCCGCGGAAGCAATGCGAAAGCAGATCCTGCGGCAACATCGGTTAAAACGGAAAAAAAAAAAAAAAGGTAGCGGATTCATATTATATGAGAATGAACATTTCAGCATGATTAAAGATATACTTAGGTATATCTTTAATCATGCATTTCAGTTAAGTGCTTATCTGTATAACTGCAGATACGTATAACGTATATGTGCTATAATGGCACCTTAATTTAATTTTATGTTTTTACTGCTTTACAAATAATAAAATTGTGTGGTACATTTTTTCGTTACCTTTAATTTCAACTTGATCGCACCTAAAAAATTGTTCGTGAAAATGAAATCCACTTCAAATTATCTAATATCAAAAATCAAAATGTCTAGGTACTATTAATTACACATTTTTACGATAAAAGTATCATGTATCTTATTTTGCAAAAGATACAAGATATTGTTATAAAATGTATCATGATACATGATACTTAATACTTTAAAATTATATATCATGATACAAGATATAAGATCCAATTGTATTTTGTATCTTTGATACTGCCCAACCCTGATTACAATGTATTCATGTCTTGGAAAAAATATTTTTATAATTAAATGAAAAAATCCAAATTTTATTAGAGCTAAGCATGATACATAMTTATTCAAATTATTTGTTCATGTGGAAGGGGGAATATAGCTGATTTTTTAAAGAACTAAATTATTTTAATATATTATAGCTTTATAGCTAATTTAAACTATATTTTATTTTATTTTAGGTATATTATTTTCTATGAGCTATATTTATTTAATTATGCAAACATAATTTATGGTTATCAGATACTAAACATTGAAAAAAAGTCATGGAGGGATCTATCTAACTCATCATTTCTCAACCTTTTTAGTGACRCGATCCCCAAAATAAGTATAAATATGGTCAATCACTTCATGATCCCTCCCTCCATCTATATTAAGTAAAAATTTGAACAGTAAAAATATCCTATCATTATAAATATCAATTTTAAATCAGTTTTTTATTATTTTTGACCTACRCGATCCCCTTGTTGAGAAACGCTGATCTAACTGATACAGTCATCAAATTGAGCATGGGGGCATTATTTTACAGCACAACAGACATACAGATTTTTGATCCTGTAAGGATAAAGAACGGATGTAGTTTAATTAATGTACAGTATAGTTTCTTAACTTGAATATAGAAGACATCTGATTATATCTATAAAGGTGAAAATACTATAAACATTTATTTTACTGTAATAAAAGCATAAAACAATAATTTAAATGGGATAAACARTAATTAGAACACTTTTTATGGTATAATAAGCAATATCTACAAGACAAGCTTAAAAAGTAACCTTAAAATGTTATGCTATTTAAAGTGTATTCTAACAACATGTCTTAGCTCCCACTTTGCTCAGAAAAATTATTTTCTCATTGATTACTTTAAGCACAGCGTTGCTTAAAATTTTGGTAAAAACTTTCTGATGGAAAAGTTTAAGAAATTGCAGATCCTTACCTAAACACATATAATAATAATAGAAGTACAAGCAGAACCAATGATACCTGAGTAGACTCCAGTATATTTCCAACAACGGCTATCTTGGCACGTGCATCACTTAATCTATGAGCATACCCTTCTAGTAAGACACATGTGTCAGTGGCGGTTTTTGTCGTAGCAGTTACTGTAGATGAAATGGTCTTGTCAGCAGAAACTGGCAACTTTGTTGATGATATTAACTTTGCAACAAACAAGTAATCGTGCTGTGTCAATGACAATCGCTTAAGCTCGGAAGCCAATGAGTCAAGCTGTAGTTTCAGGTCGAGTTGGCTCAGTCTAACAGACATAGGTAAATCACAGAAACAGCAATAAATTGTGTTATACAAATAATTAAATGAATACCAGTAGTATATTTTTATTAGTTAGACAATGGTGTAGGATGAAAATATTACTATCACATATTTTTACCTGGTACATTGTACAGTTGCATCCAAACGGTCAACACACGGTCTGAGCAGATTGGCAACCAGACCATCAGCCAGTGTGTCACGAGTAGCCTCTGATGCGGCAACGGCAGCAGCTGCCGCTTCGTCTAGGTCTTCATTGTCTGGTGAGTAGTCTACCGAGACCGCCTCTGAACGGTTCGATGGCATGTCCAGGACGGTGGTACCGATAGGCTCGGCTGCAGAAATTTCGTTATCCATGGACTACACGGATTCGAGTTGGCTTGAGTAGTCGGGTACGGCTGTTAAGATAGGTTTTCAGTTCACTGAAAGTGTCAGATTATTAAGTAAACAACTATAAGAATTTATGCTCATATACATACGGGGTATAGTGCTTCGCTAGATTCGGATTGTGACGTTTATACGAGGCGTGGCAGTAAAAACTAAGATGTAAAAATTAATTAAATATCACATATCATATTATAGTAAATACAAAACACAATAGTTATAATAGTGTAAAGTTAAAGGTGCGTAATGTATGTCTGTACTACAACTGTATACAGTGCCAGCATTTCTGTCAAATCGTCTGATAACAGCGGTATCGGGATAACAAACTCCGATGTCATCACTCATTAGCGGACGATGACGACGATCACGGCGACTATTGCCGTAGAGTGTACACTGTACATAAACATAACAAGGTTGGTATTCACTATTAAACTTGTTGATTTCATGAGCAAAGTAAAAAAAGCGGGTAAGTCGTGGATGTCGCTCTATTGTACAGTACTACAGTAGTTTACAAGTGGGTTACTGTAATTAATTAAATTTAATCTAATGATATTATATCATTTTATACGAAAAACGATTCTGAGCGGAGACGGTTTATCCACAGAATAGATACAATCAGAAAGGACACTCTAGGTCTAGATGTAAACAAAATCACGACGGATTGGCGGCCATCTTCCTAACAGGAAAAATTCTCATCAGTTATCATTTTTCATTAGATAAATGTGTTTTCATTTATTCAAAACATTAAATTTTAAATCTTTTAAGTTTAAACTTTTACAGTTTTTACTTATTAAACAGCAATTTAGCTTTGCTATCCCATGTATTTTAATTAATTTTAATATTAATTAAATACTAATAATTATATTGTATACTAATTGAAAACAATAAGTTTAGTTTTACAGAATGGTCACACTGTTGGCCTGTTGGGAAGATGGCCGCCACGATTTTTCGTTCGGCCTATGCTGTTGGTATGTGTTAATTCCTATCAGTGTCAGGGCCATAAGTCTAGGATATATTAGAGATTATTAAAAAATTTCAAATCTTAAGATTTAAAAAGAAAAATTTATATGAATTTCTAGCTTAAAATAATTTGCAAATTTCCGTGATTTGTACGTATGTTGTCATGTTGTTAAAATTAAAATTTGAATCCTTGTAAAAAAAATTGTGACTATGTATTTCTTTTATTTTTCAACTGCTATTGTAAAAATATTTTAGGATCCTTGTGTTAAATGTTTAAATCTTAGATATAAAAGGAAAATTTTTATGAATTTCAATATAAGATAATTTGAACATTGTCGTAATTTTTACGTATTTAGTCAAAATTAGAACTTTAAATGCTTATAAAAAAAAATCATGCCTATGTATTTTTAATATTTTTCAACCGCTATTGTTACAATGTGTTAAAAGCATGTATTAAATTTTCAAGCTTTTCTATCCAACAAATACATTTTTATCGATATTTAATATTTTATTTATAGAAGAAAAAAACTAAAAAATTGAAAAATTAAAATGTCAGTTCAAAAACAGCTCAAAATAAATCTAAATATTTTGAAAATTGTATCAAATATAGAAAATGCCTATATAACCATTCAGTGGAAATTTCAAGTATCTGCAGTCATATGTTTTAGAGTTACTCAGTTACACCAAAATAAGAAAATCGCTAAATATGAAATTCAATGAAAATCCAATGTTGTAAAAATTTAAATTTMAAATGCTCATCAAAATTTAACTTTTTTTTTGTGATTAAGATTGAGAAACTTGTGAGGAATTTTGTATTAMATTTTCAAGTATTTTGATTGGGCCAAAATAATTTTATCAACACTTCAAAATAAAATTTTCAATTGTCTATAAACATCTCAAAAAAAGTCAAAAAAWTTTGAAAATTAAACTGTATATAGATAACATTAACTTAAACATTTGGTAAAAATTTCAAGTATTGACAGTGATTAGTTTTTGAATTACAACCATATAAAAAAATCTATTTGGTCGAAAACTTGTTTTGCGTAAAAATTCCCGTTTTTCTGTCACTTTTGACCTCTATAATRCACCAAGGATATTCACTTTTCCACCGGAAACCACCCGCAAAGTTTGAAATTGAAGCATTATTTCGACTAGTTTATACACAGTCACAAAAAAAAGCACACATCAATTCATTCATCACTCCTTTCAGAATCTAAAAGTATTTAGAAAATGTATTCGAATACTTCATGATAATAACATTCCAAAGTATTCAGAATACTTCACAAAAAGTATATCAAAAGTTCTTCGAATACCTACTTTTTTTTAGTTAAAAAATATTTTTTTTTGAATTCATTGTTAATAAATGAATATTATAATAGCTTATGGAAGGGCTAAACATATAAAAAAATCACTCTCCCACCACCTGGTTGCGTCACAGTTCGCCAGACGGGGATCTTACCACGCAGTTAGCCCCGACGACTTAATTACAAATGATTCGGGAGAATTACAAATTGGATTAAAGCACAAATAAACAAATTAATAATAACAATAATATCCTTCTGATTATTATTCTCTTTACAATATTGGAATACTTGGACTAATTTGCATAAATAAAACAAAATTTATAATTATATTTACAATTTATAATATACGTACGGCGCTAATCTCAGAGCCGACAGCCGTTTCCTCCTCTTCACTGTATCTTCCGGCAGCTTCTTGGTAGAGGGCTGGAGGCACCTTGCCTCTGGACAAATTCCTTGACTAACGCTCGAGCGCAACACGGTCGAAGCACAACGGCCGAAACAAGTAACCGGTTTTTGTTTGGAAGAAAYCAAAACTTCGATAGACGGAGTTTTGAAGAAAGAAAAATCTTTTCTTTCGTTAATTTGGAAAATTCCCAAAGCTTCAAAAAGCGGACGAAGGTATATAAAAAATAATAATATTAAATTAATTGCGTATAAAAGTCGGCGTTCGTTGACTACAATAACAACCACACTAAAAACAGCGACCGTGTCACCGTGATAACAGCAACAATCAACCCGCACGATGGGGCCCACGGAGGGAGACTAGCACGCATAAATATCGGCACTGCCAACTGCGGCGCAGCGATGCTGTCTGGCGCGAACAGATCTTAAGATCTTAAACCGTGGACACTATTCATAAAAACATAGATATTAAAAATTAATTTAATCTTAACGTCTTCGTTATCTCGTTGCAACAAAATTGGAAAATATTAACATTAAGTAACTATTACTGTCTAACTGAAAATAGTAGAAAACAAAATTGTATATTACTACAAAATATTTTGTATAGAAATATAGTATATACAAGTAACATGTACATAATCAATTTATATGACGGAAAAAGAATAAAATTATTTTTTAAATATGATTGGATATTAAAAAAATATTATGAATACCGTATTCAGAAAAAGTATTTAAAATACCGTATTGAATACTTCAATAAAACTATTTTAAAAGTATTCGAAATACTAACCAAGTCTAATAAACACAATATTGTCAACTTACTTAACTCATGTCATATTATTACATCGCTGGGAGCATACACTCAGTACATACATGTAAATAATAACAGCCCCACACATTTCAAACTCAAATTGCACCCATGCATATATTATATGAAGTTAAGCGTCTATTTTTTGGATAATACTTTAGGACCTAGTTACTAATACAGAAACCCAGGAGGTTGGAGTGTTGTGTTCAGTTCTGGCGGTTTCTGWTTATCTGCATTAGAGAGTAAGTAGTTAATCGTCAAATGGACTCCACATATTGCGCACTTGGTTTGTTTTTCTCTGTTCATTATAAATAGCCATGTGTGTAGAGTGTAGYGTTTATGTTCTATTCTCATCATGTCTTATTAATTTATATTAAGAGAATTTCGCACAAACGTGTATTGTCACTGTCTTACAAGTGCCGCAGCACAACAAATTTTAGCTCAKAAGATCATGTTTAGCTCCGTTAGTTTAGAATTCAGAGTGAATCGATCTCTATTAAAATTTAAACCAAGTTAAGATTATTATATAGTTACGTCAATCAAACAGACATTTTATAATCATTTTGTTTAAATCCGAGTTATGAGTATTTTAAGATGTACAAACAATTTACAATTTTGAAATACTCATAAATTGTTTTTAAATTAAAATATAATAAAAAGCCTATGAGATTGACTAAATGTACCCTAACCAAGTGGATCCCAAACTGTGCGCCACGACAAAACAAGATGTGTATCCTTATGATTTCACTGATGATTGGTCCAAGCTCGAAYAAACAACTCTGCCTCCGATTGAAGACTTTTTAGCACTTTAACAGAACAGCACGTTAATGAAACGTAATATCGATTTGTGACAGAGGTTTGGAACCATTTTAATTGTCAAACGCTGGGAAAGTATTCAGATTTATATCTAAAAAATGATATTTTACTTCTGGTTGATGTTTTTGAAAATTTTCGTAACCTAACCTAACTTTTACAGCTGCAGCATTTTTCTTTGACGTGATGTTAAAATACACGGATATCAAATTAGAGCTACTGTCGGATTAYGAAATGCTTTTAATGATTGAGAATGGTTAGTATATTAACAATATGTTATTTCTACTTGCATATAATATAATTACGTTATTATAGGTATCCGAGGTGAGCTCACACACGCTAGCATGTGTTATGCAAAAAACAAAACAATGAGAAAACACCGGATTATGAACGTACGTTACCCCAGCCCCCCCCCCCAATTTGATTTTTGCAATTTTTTTGCGCCAGTAATTAGTGCTCAATTCCTGCCAATTCCTGCCGGAAACCCCGGAATTCCTGCAGCTCTAACGGTTTTCCTGAAAAGTCGAATTTTCCCCGGGTGGGGCTGGGGTATCGTTACCCCTGCCCCACCCACCTTCTAAATTTAACTTTTCACAATTTTCTTTGTGCCAGTAATTAGTACTCAAATCGATAATATATGATAGTATGAAATATTATTGTCGTAATTTTAGTTTTTGTTAGACTAGGGCAACATCTCACAGATTCACCATCCAACATCTTTTTTACGCACATATTCATATAGCATAATAATAATAATAATCCTACAGCAAAAGCTCAAACATGAAGATTAACACTAACAACTGGGCTGATCTTAAACAAGTGTTTAGGACTACTAAGAATGAGACTATAAAAGAACGGCCGAGAAACCAAAAAAAGAACTGCTGGTTTTCTAAGGAAACCATTGATATCATCGAACAGTGCCGTCAACTGAAAGTCAAGGGCCTACGTTGCACCCCTCAATACAAGCAACTCTCAGCGCAGATCAGAAGGGAAATCCGCCGAGACAAAAATCAGATCATTACTGAGACGAGCAAAAGAATTGAAGCTTTTTCAGACAAGAACCATATGTGAACTGTTCCAGGAAATTAAGAAGATCACTGGGGACTTCAAGCTAAAAAGATCAGCTATAAAAGATGTGTATGGAAAAGTGCAGACAGATCCAAGCAATATTCTGGAATGCTGGAGTACTTACTGCCAAAAGTTGTACACAGAYTCAGATGAACACTCTGACAATAAAAACACGGATGGTGAACAAGAACCAGGAATTCTCTCAGAGGAAATTGAACAGGCAGTGTTAAAGCTGAAAAACAATAAGGCACCCGGATCAGATGAAATCACTGCTGAAATTTTGAAACTATCTGTAGATAAAGGAGTAAAGATCTTATGGAAACTGTGTAATGAAGTTTGGACTACAGGAGTATGGCCTGAAGACTGGGTGAAATCAATCTTCATACCACTTCACAAAAAAGGGTCTACCGAAGACTGCAGTAACCACCGCACCATCTCATTCATCTCACTAGCCTCCAAAGTCCTACTGAACGTCATTCATGCAAGACTGAGGYACTAYGTAGATAGTCAAATACAAATACCTCACCTACCTAGTGTTCCTCCTAGGAACACGTGAACAAATTTTGAATATATGCCAACTCATAGAGAAGAGTAGAGAATTCAATCAACCACTGATATTGTGCTTCATTGACTATAACAAAGCTTTTGACTGTGTACAATGGATTAAACTATGGATAGTCATACAATAAATGGGAGTCCCTGAACATATCATTCACTTAATCAAGAATTCATACACAAAATCAAAAGCAGTTATCACAGCGCAAAATGCAGTATCAGATCAGTTTCAACCTACTAAGGGGCCTACTACAAGGATGCATTTTATCACCTATTCTCTTTAATATCTACAGTGAAGCAGTATTAAGAGAGTCACTCCAGGAATGGAATGGCGGAGTAGTTATTAGAGGTAGAAAGATCAATAATTTGCGGTTCGTGGATGACACTACATTATGCACCAAGTCTGAATTGGAATTGAGCCAATTAATAAAACGTGTTGAAGAAGTAAGCAATAAGTATGGACTGACAATCAACAGGAGTAAAACAAAGGTTATTGTTATAGATCAATCAGGAGTATTATCACACACCAATGTACTGAACAACTACCAAAAAGTGAATGAGTTTACATATTTAGGTTCAATTGTACAAACAGATGGCGGATCATCCAGAGAGATCAAGCGTCGCGTTACACTTGGGAGAGAAGCAGTTAGCAGATTAACACCTATTTAGAAGGATAATCATATCTCCAGGAATAGCAAGTTACGACTGCTCAAGGCACTCACCTTCTCAGTGATGCTCGATGGATCTGAAACATGGACACTCAAAGCAGAAGACGTAAAGCACATAAACACCTTTGAGATGTGGGCCTACAGACGGATGATGTTGAGAATCTCTTAGATGGAAAGAAGAACCAAATTCTCAATTTTGACCATGCTAAATATAGAAACAAGACTGGCAGTGGTGTGTAAGCAGAGGATCCTAAGATTCTTTGCCCACATTAAAAGAAGGGATGAATCGAGCCTGGAGAAGCTAGTGATCGAAGGAAAAATAGAAGGAAAAAGAAGCCGTGGAAGAACACCAATSCATTGGATAGACCAAATCAAASCCATCACTGGYTATCCACTGGGGGAGGCCATTCGATCGGCAGAAAATCGTGAGATCTGGAAAGGGATTGTTGCCAACGCCAATTGATGGTTCACCAAACCTCCGCTTTTGGAAGATGGACTACAGAAGAAGATTCATATAGCATAATAATTCTTACTTGTATAAAGTACCAACTTTGTAGAGTTCCATTGATTAAAACCAAAATACTAGGTAGGCCGTAATTGTCCGGAAAATAAATGTCCGGAATGATAAAATCACGGAAAATTAAAATTCCGGAACGTAAAATYRCGGAATGTAATAATCCGGAATGTAAAATCCCTGATCGTAATATTACGGAATGTAAAAACCCGGAATGGTTGAAGTCCGGAAAATAAATAATCCAGAACGTAATAATCCGAAACGTACAATCTCGGATCGTAATAATCCGGAATGTAAAACCACKGAACGTAATAATCCGGAACGTACGATCCCGGAATTTAATATCCCAGAYCGTAATATTCCGGAACGTAAAATTCCAGAATGTAAAATCCCGGAACGTAATATGCCGGAAAAGAATCAGTGATTTCTAAACTTCCACGCCCAATACCACGATGATTTTCATGTGAATATGTGATAATATATTGTGCATGATAATTAAAATATATTGATAACARATTGATTTGTATTTATCGCTTTTTTTAAATTTTAAGGAAAAAATAATACACTTAAGTAGTATACATTTGTATCTTCACAGTACGTTTTTTTTTCACCGTGGTAATTTCACAACGTTTAAGAGATGATCTCCAATTGAATACAATGATTTTACCGTAACAAAAATCACGGGGAGATTTCACACTCGTTGTCCACCTATGTGCACCTCACACAAAAATATTTACCGAATAGCATTTTACATGTGGATTTCACATTTTTTGTCCACGAATTCTCTGCTTACACAAAATATTTACCTATTTTAAAATTACAGGGAGTTTTCACACTCGAAATCGGTTTTGTCCCTTACTCAAAAATATTTTCTGTGTACACACCAATATTTTTTTTCCCCAACAAACCTTATTTCAAACTGAAACAATTCTTTTAAGTTCAGAACACAAATTACGAAATAATATTTATTTTTTTTATTGTTAAGAGGGATGCTATGTAAAAATTTAAAGTGTAGTATTCCATTACATTTTATATATGATCTGAAATCGTTAGGATCAATCGAAATGTCAAATGTTAACMGGGTTTTGAATTTTTCATTATAAATATTTATTTGTGCCATAACTCTATGCTTAAAATCTTTAATTTCATAACATCTCTATTTGCAGTTTAATATTACACCACATGTCCACATACGATCATTATTATTATTATTATGGTCAACTACTTGTATAGCAAATTTATTATTATCTTTGTTGATATTCGGGATTGAATTAAATGTCTGCAAACATAACAAAGCTATTTCTGAGTCTTCATAAAAGTTTCGTAATTTGTGTTCTGTACTTGAAATAATTATTTCAGTTTTATAATAAAGTTTGTTGGAGAATTTTAACTAGGTAGTTATTATTTTTATTTTGAAAATCATACATGGTTATAGTATTACAATATTACAGTATTACCTACTGATAATTGGTAATAACTATTAACTACTCATTTACGATGGGGATTGTTATAACTACATTTATCGATATTTAGTAACAAGTCATTTATTGGAATTTTGCAATGGATATTACCTTTCACAAGAACCTAAAAATTTGCACCATCATAAGTTTAAAAATGGTATCGTAATAAAAGAATTTGTAAGACATGTAAGATAACAAGTTTCCCAAATACCTGTTGAATCTCACATCACCGAGTACTAAGTGTTATTTTTTCATAATATAAAGCTAATCATGACAATGAAAGAACTTTCTCTATCAATATTGACCGTGAAACTTCATCAACTGTTCAACATTTGTTAGCTGTTATATTTAAATCGGGATTGTTCAACTCCTTTTGGGTACCTCTTCAGCCTCCCTGGTAGGACAATGTGTATTTGGTGTATTGTGTATTTTTATAATTGATAGATCACCACCATCCCGTAGTAGATCACCTGGTTCAAGAACGCCACAATTTATGCTGGAGCATACCATTTTTTAAGGAGTAATGTTTAGGGAATTCATTAGGCTGTGGTAGTGTGTAATATTTTATTAATACGTCACAGAAAATGAAATATATTTTTTTGCATACTATTGTTATAAATGCGGAAGCAATTTAACATACTTCGGACTTCCTGAAGATTTCGAAAAAATTATTGAATTCGTAAATTTCTAGACCTAGCTATTTCGGATTCATTTTTTCTATTAAAAACCTAATGTGCCCAAAATAAATAAAAACTTAATGCAATTATTTCGCTGAATTATAAAAGTTCTTAATTTTATAACGTTCTTTATAATTTAAAATTAGAAATTGACTTCCTAAAAAACAGATATTTTGCTGTTAAATAATTCATACATTTAGATACATTCAAAATTAAAATCTGACATTTTGAAGCATGTTTCATTTACCACCGCTTATTGGTTGTATAACAAATACGTGCGTACTTCTATCCTCCTACTAGTGATGTTCTAGAACAATATTTGTCACCCGCGGGCCGGGGCTAACAAAATTCTATGACGTCCACTTTTTGTTGAAAAAATAATTTACCAACTTTCTTACTGTAATAGTAAATTTCATATTATATRGATAAAAATGTAGGAAATGTATACACAATTACACAAAATAGGCATAAATACACTTTAGCTACCCAGCATTTTATTTTTTTACCTATTCCAGTACCAAATTTGGCAAAATCCAATGCTAAATACTTTTATTTAAAATATACACTTTGTTGACTACTAAATATTGATTTAATATTTTATTTGATTCAATTTATTCTTATATAATTTAGTTTATTTGTACCTATCTATAAATTAATAATGACTGAAAAACATACAATAATAGCACCTGGTTTATGTAGGTATACGAATATGACTATATGCTACTATAAACTACTGATCTAATGCACTTTGTTCCATAACGAATGGCAACTCTTAACAAACTTATGATTGTCAACTCGCTGCAGTAAGTGAATCTCATCCACCTTGGTAAATGGTAGGYAATGTTCAAAAATGCGATTTGATGCATGCTTGTACCTGATCTGCCTGAATAACCAAGGGCAACCAATAATAAATAAAAATTAATTTCTACTAGGAAATTATTTCTCAAAATTTCACTCAGATATAAATCAATGCATTTTTAATTCGACGGAATACGCTGCGAATACGCCATCGCCATGTATAATCACAGCCTAACACTGTGACAAGAGATTTTCATATATTAGAAGAAGGTTATAATATGTTTTATTAAGTATTCATACGTTTTAATAAAATTATATAAAATTATAATAGTTGATAATTTTTGAGATTTTTTTCAAACTTTGAATTTTAATTAAAAATCGTGACTAGGGATCATTAATATTTATCAAATGCTATTATAATTACTTATGAGGAACATTRTATTTTATTTTCAAGTATTTTGACCAACCGAAAAATGTTGTATCGACAATAGTTAAAATAAACCTAATAAATAGGCAAATAGCGCAATAAAGGTACGGTGTCCAAGGCGCAGCTAGTSGCGACGGCTGGACGCAGCGACCGGCCGCACCATACTTCTCACTGACGAGTACAGCCGCCGGCCGCTGCGACTCTAATGCTGTTCCATAGCAGAACAGTCGTTGACTCACAATACAGTCCGTATCATCTATAACGACGGTCAAGGGACCGTAAAATATACGTCGTTATAACCAGATGTTGTTATACCCAAATTTTATTTTATAAGAATTTAAAATATTGCTTACATTATACA